AAATTCCAAGATATTTTACAATAACATAAATTTGTCCAAAGTATTTGGTACTAGTATTTCATTCAGAATTATAAAAGTTTCTAATAAAATTATAAATTCTATCTCCTTAAAAAATAAGTCAAGGAAAAAACAATTCCCAAATGATTTATTCAAATTCCATTGATGGGATGGATATATTCTCTACTGTATTCTTTTTTTTATTCTCTATTATATTCTAATGGGGGGGGGAATCATAAGAATATCAAAGAATGAGAATTCACAAAAATAATCAAGGGAAAATATAAATTAGCTAGATACCCTAAACCACATACTACTATCAAGTCAAGTTAAATTAATACTGAACATTAACATGGTCATAAAAATTGTCTGCTTTCTAAATTTTAATGCAATATATTTATAAGCAGGAATGGCATCCATTTCCTAAACAACATGCCTCTGGAAATTCTATGAACTTTGATAAACGATGATAGCTACAGAAAGGCTTCAGGCCTTTTCTTTATAGGGTTGCTATAAGTTGTGCTCAATTCGACGGTAATCAACAAAAACAATATGAAATTCTCTTAGTTTGCAATATTAACATTGTCCATGTTTATATAACTATGACTTGTATTCTTTTTAAAGGAAAGCAAAGCTGTTTGAAATAAAATGAGAAACAGCACAGCAGAAATACAAAACTGTGGGGCAATTTCAGAAAACATTAAAAATGCAGTTATTAAAAACTATAGACAAAGAATGGATTAAAGAAACCATCACTGTGGTTTAGCACCCAGACCTCTCAAATTACAGGAAACTTTTGTCACTATCATGGCTTTCCTATGATCTTTTTTTGAGACTATTCATCTTAAATTAACAAGGTTCAAACTAGACCTACTTTTTTAATGCTCTGCCAAATAAGCATTAACTAATAGGGATTTCTGGAAGCAGGAGCGGCATCCACTTCTGAAATGGCTTGCCTCCGGAAACTATGTACGAACAGTGCTCAGGCCTTTCGTTCATAGGGTCGCTATGAGTCAGTCGTCTATCTAAGACTCAATGGCACCTAACAACAACAATATGGATTTAGGTATGGGGTTTTTTTTTTAAAGTTATAACTCCTGTATTTTACATTAGCATAGCCTGTAACTTAGGCCTACAGTATAAGATTTATTTCATACTACTGCATGTTCCAGTTACTCATCTAATTTTTATATAAGGCCTATAAAAGAGGTGTTACTGTGTAGAGAAGTCTAGTGGTGAAGTGGGTAGGCAGTTGCTCTGCTAACCAGGTGATGGCTGATTAGAATCCACAGTAGTTCCATTAGAGAAATGTGGTCAGTCTCTTTCTGTATGTTTTATAGCCGCTGGAAACCTGCTAGAAGGTCAGGTATGAGTCAATTCTGAATGACAGCAATGAGTTAAGTTTTTACAGCATTCCTACTTTTTTAAGGTAGGAAAGCTGGGGCTCAGAATGGCTGATACAATGCCTCTAGGTCATGTGGCTAGTAAGTGGCAGAGTTGAAACTCATGCTCAGCATCGCCAACCTCTCAGACTCCTCTGCCCTGTCTACACTTGCCAGTGTGCAGCTCACACCAGCCAGCCTGCTCCTTTCTCCAGTGTGCCATTCTGCTAACTCAAGTTTTCTCCAGTGATTTGTATTCTGTACCTCTTTTTGAGAAGATCTAAGTCCAATTGTATATTCAAGTCTTTTAAGTATCTGTTGCTCCCAATTTCCTTCCGAAAGGGACATCATATTTTCCCTTAACTCTTGGAACCTAATTTTTGCCATAAGCTATCGGCTCAAATGTGATTTCAGATTTATGTGGAAATTCCAAGAAAAAATATTTCAGCTGGTTTCTGTTCCTTGCCCTGATTCCTATGCTGCTTACAATGAACGCTGTTTTTCTTTTTGTCTTTGACACATTTCTTATTTTATTTTTTCCCCTTTAACAAGCTTAAATTCTATTTTCAGAGTGTTCGAACTTTGACTTAAATGGGCAGCAGTAGCTACTATCTGTTGTAAATAACCACAACAGCTTTCTTTATTAAAGGTGAGAGATTCATGAATTCTTTCTTGTTCTTTCTGCTGTTGCAGAGCTCTGACGTACACTGACTTTGCACAATGTCTTTATTCCCTCTCAACCTTGCAGGCTGCTCGGTCTCCTGGCTGTTAGAATGAATTTAGTTTTTATATATTAGATTTTCTTATTGCATCTGTGTGTGTCACTGGTATGTTCACAATATATCACCATGTTACCAAGTAAACAGAATAATTTAAAAATATATAGTTACTATGCAGCACTCAGAAGCAATGATTTTGAAAAATATACTACATAACTTGGGAGAGTCTGGTATAGAGCATTTTGCTGAGTGAACTACCTCAGTCTCATAAGAATAAATACTGCATATGATCATTGATGTAAAATAGAAGGATAACGAATAAAAACTGTATGGGGACCAGAGGGTGAAATGGGTACGACTAGAGGGGTAAGGGTGGGTAGAGGGGCAAAACCACAGGGTTGTACAATAGGGAGGTGGAGGGAGAGGGTAAAGGAAAAGGGAAGGATACAATGAAACTATCTGATTCTCAAGTTCCTATTTAAAAGAAAAAGAAGCCAGAATAACCAGAGGAACTCTGGGGAGCGGGAGGAAATCTAAAACCAACCAAAACCTAAGAACAAGAGTAATGACTGAGAACTAGTTTATGAAAAAAGAGGAATCAAGATACAGAACGAAGAGTCCAGCCATCAATCAATACACACATGGGATAAAAGGTTATAACATAACCAACAGTGGGTTACAGATAATACTGCATAAGTGTTGAGACAACTAGATAGAAAAAAGATCAGCTGTTCTTATCTCACATAGTTCAACAAGATGGAATAAAATGAGATAAAAATCTGGGCCAAGTCCTCAAAATCTAAATGTGGGGAGCACTTTCTAAACATAGATTAAAATGCAAAAGCTATATATAAAGAAAAAGCTATATATGGCAAAAATCCTGAAACTAGACACAAATCAAAACCACAAACTCCCCTAACCCAAAACAAAGTCAAAAGACAAATATCAAAGAAAAATTATTTACAATACACATCAAAGATTACACACTCTAATATAAAACAAGTTCCTATGAATCAAGAAATTATTAATGAGTCAGCGACAGGTTGGTTGGGTCTGACTCAACCACATACAACAACAACAACATAAACAGATGGACAAAGGAATGTAAGATAAAAATAAAACTCACTGCCTTCAAGTCAGAACTGACCACAGCTGACCATTCAGCAGGTTTTCAGAGGCAGCAAGAGACACACAGCAAGAGTCTGTTTTCACATACGAAGAGACTGTCCATCTTTCTCCGGCAGATGAGCTGGTGGATCTAAATGACACACCTCTGTGTCAGCAGTCTAATACACCCTAGTTCCCCTAAGACTTCACAAAAAAAAGGCCTGTTTCTCAGTATATCAGTCCAGGGGGAATAACCCATAGCTGACCTTCCAGCAGGCTTTTGCCTGGGAGGAAACTGTCTATCTTTCTCCCAAGGATGGGGATAGGAAAAAACAATTCAAGGTCTTAGAAGGCAAAATGCAAATTCTAACTCACTGAGGTACCAATTCTTATCTCAGCAGACTGGCAAAGTTACAAAAAGGGTGATAGCACAGTGTTGACAAGGCTGTGAGTACTAGATCTAATACACTCCACATTTATATACAGCTAGTGGAAGTGTAATATGGAACTAAGAGGAAAAACCCCAAGGTGCAGAAAATGGTTAGGCACTAACAACTGCCAAAACCACAAGGGAAACAAGAACTAGACAGTGCCTGGCTACCCCTGTGAACCATTCTGAAAAAAATATCACAACAGAAGGGCCCTGATAAAGTGGGAGAGAAATGTGGAATAAAACACAAAATCCTAACAAGGACCAAGTTATCAGATCTGAAAAAGACTGATAAAACCCCAAATACTCTACACACCTTTCAAGCCAGCAACTGAATTAACTGCCATGACTCAATTTTAAGACAAAGAGCAGAAAGGCATAAAAGGTGATCAATAACCTCAGGAGGAAAGAAATGCATACCCAAGAACTAGATCAACAGGGCAGCATCTGCCCAGCAAGAAAGCTCAGAAGGCAGGAAGGAAACACGGAAAAAGTGGGCAGAGTGCTGTT